TTTCTCATTATGTCACTCTAAAGCTGCCTCCTATAGTACATACTTTGTGACATGTCTGGTATGTTTGAAAGGCCAGACAGCTGGCTTCAGCAGGGAGTCACTGAAAAAAGATATCTGCTCAAAATCATTGAGCCCCAAAACAAATTACCTAGGAAAATAATCTATTTTTATATGAACTGCTGGAAAAAAAAACTATTAAGTAGTATGGCTTAAATTAGGCTTAGACCAACATCTTTTACCACATACAATAATAGATTCAAAATAGAGAAGAAAACTGAGTATTAAAGGCTGTGCCATAAAAAAAATTAGGATAGAAGCAAGTAATTTAGCACTTACAGATATGGGGTATGAGATGAGTTCTTAATCAAACAAGAGATACAGGCAATTTCAAAGGATAAAATAGATAATTTTGATTATATGAAATTGAAAAGCTTTTGCATAAACAAAATTAACACCTCTAGGATAAGAACAGAAGTAGTCAATTGGGGGGAAAAATTTTGCATCATAGATCTCTAATAGGAGTTTGATATCCAAAATATATAGACAACTCTCACAAATATATGACCAAAAGTCATATCCTAAGAGACCAAAGATATGAGGAAACAGTCCTCAAAAGAATTGCAAACTATTAACAACCATACAAAAGAATACTCTAGAGTTAGCACTTCTTAAACTGTGGGTCGCAATCTCATTGGCAACAGTAAAAGATTTCTGAACATGCAGCAACCAAAAATTAATTCAAAATCAAAAGCATAATGAATCTGAGGTTTTTCTGGCAGCACTTGCCTGTGTTGAATCGCCCGTCTTCAGTGCAGCCTTCGGTTCTGAACACAAAGCACGTGCACTTTGCACTGTGCATGCCCTCAGGCCATGCAAGCCAAGGGGTTGTGAGTGGGAAAAGTTTAAGAAGCTCTGCTCTAGATAACTAATAATAAGAGAAATATAAATCAAAACAACCCCAAAAGTTTTAACTCACATCTGACAGACTGGCATTGATGATGTGAGAAGAGTCAATGTATGAGAAGTTTTGAAAAGACTAATTACATGTAAATATTTGGGAATATGGCATTAACAAAGGATAATGAAAAACAACAGTGGCCTCTTGAAGGAGCTTTGTCCTTCCCTGAATCTAAGGCACTTAAGAATGGCATTAGGGAATGAAGACCAAGGATCTCCAATGGAGAGCATATTTTAACTGGTGAATACTTTAACACAGATGCAGGAAAGAGATTAGACAGAGGTGGCAAAAAGAAAACTATACTACACAAGGGACAAGAATTAATCTGCTTCTCCAGCTTAGTGTTCTTCTGGCATCTCAACAACCCTGCCTTCTCCTTATTTTTCCACTGGACCTGAGGATCTGATAATCAAGGAAGAGCTACTTTTGAGTGTTTCATGAAGAGGATGACTGTCTCCTTCCTCTTCTCTAGTAGCAAGTAAGACTTGGATGGGGGAAATATCGTTGTTTGTAGGCATTAGATAAGCAGCCAGTAGAAAGGAAGAGAGTGAAGCTAAGTGAGTGGGGATAAATGAAGGAGCAATCCGATGAAGAAGTTGGGATGAAATGTGCCCTTCATTTTCCTGTCTATGCCATGAAGTTAAGCCTATCATTAAAACTCTCATTGATACTGAATATGACACCTGGTGGTGGCACTTGTGAGAAGTGGTACCCTGCCTAGGGATTACTGGCCTCCTTAATAAAGCTGTCCTTAATATCTCTCTCAATGTTGAGCACCTGCAAAACCTTGCCATCCACCTGCTATAGCAAGAAGTAGATTTTGTTGTCAATGTAGTATTCCAGAATTGCCAACTCCTTGATCTTCCACACTGCATCAAGGAGGAGTCTGTGCCTTAACACCTTGTGTTGCATCTATATTTTACGACTCTGGACAGATTGCAACATATTAGGAAGAAATATGCGATAAATACAGTGGTTGCCCAGGCCCATTGTCCACTGACAGCCAGTGGACCCCACTTGACTGGATCATTTCCCTTCTGCCTTCTATATAACTGGATGGGTTAAAAATTTGCTTCAGTTGGTTCAAATTGTTTTAATCATACTTCTTGTTCTATATTCTCTTCTTTAAGCTTCTACAGGTTCATGGGTCCAAAGCCCCTCACCTTTCTGTCTCCCATGCTACCAGATGATCCTTTGGGCCAAAAGGGACTTGGCCTTCAATATAAAAATCCTTTTCCAGTTGGCAAGTAAAATCTCTGTAGGGCTTATGCGACTAGTCTCAGTCTAGTTCACTGTCACTTCCTATACAACAAAATATTCAAAATGCTACTTCTGGTAAAAAAGAAATAGGAACAAAGTAGATACTCACTGATTGAGTAATGGCTAAGCAAATCGTGGAATGCGCATTCCTGTTCTGTAAGGAATGACAAGCACGCTGAATACAGAGAAGAGAGGAAAGAGTCACATGAAACTAATTCACAGTGAATTACACAGGATCAGGAAAACTACACATGCATATACAATGACTACAACCATGGAAATAAAGAGAAAGAACAACTTCCACAGACAGTCAAAAGTGAGTGCTTCGGAATTATAAAGAATAGGCTTGGCCCCAGAGAAGAGACAGGAGAAGCCATTCAGCAGAGGTTGGGGGTTCATGGGTACATAACATAGTATATAAGGTCAAATTTTTCCCATGTGTTGATTTGTTTTGAAATTTTTTCTCTTCTTCCTCTTTTTCTTTTAACAACATTCTCTGTTACTGAGAGTGGGAAAATCCAGGTGATATAAAAATAGAATATATGAATAAAAATAAAAATAATATAAAAATGGATTTTAAAAGATATCTGATTTGGTTTCTGAATTCTGTGTTTCAATTCTATTCTTAATGCTTAAGGAAAATAAGGGGTAGGAAATAAAAAGTAGGAGAATTTTCCTGAAGAATCCTCTTTCCTAGTTCCTACATTTCCTCTTCTTCCCCCTGCGAATGCAGGGTTCCTGCTGAGGTTTCCTGGTCTATTAAATAAGGCTTCTTTCTATGATAAGTTGGGTTCTAGATCATTAAACTATGTATAGTGCTATGAGTTCAGATATTTCTGTGTGTAAAGCTAACTGATTTAAATAGGGATAGAATACATGCCTTTGGCCTGACTGATACTGTGAGGCCACACATGCCACCATTAGGTACTTTCATACCTATTCCAGTACCTAGAGTGCTAACTGGACATGAATGCCAATTCCTAAGACCTGAGAGGGTCTATCTCTCTTCCTACCGAGGCCCTCCCACCTTCCACCCTGTACCTTAGTTTCACACACACTCTTTCACACCATGTTGCACTGGAATAATATTTATTTTTTTTTTCTTGGCAAAAGTCAAGTGCTACATTTTTAAAAACAGAAAATCTCAAACAATCAAATGCATTACCCATCACAGAAGAGGGTCAGGTAACAGTACAAAATACCGTACTTGATCTTTTTTTTTCTTTTTTTTGTTACAAGTATTTTTTTCCTTTAAAGTGATAGAAGTTCTTTGAGAACTAAGTAATCTACAGCTGTAGTTTAATACTAGAAGAAAAAAAAAACAAATTAAGACAGTTAAAGATTTGTAGCATCTAGCATTTTGCTTAATTCCCTGTTGATAGCACCTATTTCTCTAGGTTAGAAAGAGAGAATTCCACAACTAATGCTGTTTCGGTCATGTCATGAAGTCAGTGCAGAATTTTAAGCAAATAACTTCACCTTCCAAGCTCCCTAGGCACAGAGCATCTCTGCAGCCTCCCCTCATCAACTCAGATGATTTAGGGAGAAAAGGGAGATGACAGCTCTAGTTCCCAGGAAGTATTTCTGGCAGCTAATTGGAGTAAGTGCTCAAAGGAAAAGAGGAAATCATCAAATCAAGGGCACAGCCGTTGTCTGCAACATGATGAGTGTAAGAGCAGGGAACAATAGGATTATATGGCAAGTTTGTCACTGCTACGTTCAAAAACCTTGGAGCCCACACTTACAAATTATTAAGGTGGGGGAATGGAATAGGAAGAATACTTCTCTTTACTAATTACATCAATGCTGCTACATGCACAACACTGCTGGCCAGCCCCTGAGCCAGGCAAGGATGAGGAGCACTCAAGTGAGTAAGAAAGACTTCAGCCATGGAACTCTGGGGCCAGTACCCTCCCCCACCACGCCAAGAGACTAATATTTAACACACTGGGTACACACTACACACAGATACTCAGCCCCCATCCCCAGACTGAACTTGCTTCTGAAGGGAAAACCAAGCCAAACCAAACCAAATCCATCAGGGTAATCAGAGGAGGGAAGGAAAAGGGAACAAGGAATTTCCCCAAAGCCAAAGGAGACCCAAGGTTCCCCTGGCTGGCTGCAGGCCCACAATCTGGATTTGTTGGGGTTTTTTTCTTTTTTTTTTTAGAGGGGGAGGAAGTAGGAGAGCTAAAGGGAGGTAGGGGAATCTGGCATAATCCAGTACTTCAACTTCTTCTACCCCTTTTCTAAAAGCTCCATCAGAGGCCTTGACATTCTGGAGAAGCAAGAGCAGGCCAGGGGAATGGGAAGTGACACACGGGCAGAAGCCTTCTCCTCAGGGAGCCATAGGGGCAAGGGGAAGGGAGAGGAAAAGGGGCATGTGCCCCTCTTGGACCCTGGAAGCCCTAAGGGATAGGGGAAGCCCAGGAAGGAGACCCTGACATAGGGCCCCAGGGGATGCCTGCAATCTTTCTCAATGGTTTTTCCGGGTGATGGGGTTTTTTCTGTTTTTCTGTTTTTGTATACAGTGTCGTTAGACTTGTACTTTAAAAAATAAGATAAAACCAGTCCCAAAGCTGTACTCTGTGGATAAAGTAGTTTCTTTTATAAATATTTTAATTACAAGTTATCCTCACTCCATGTAATTTCAGTGACACACATAGTACCTGTGCACGCACGCACACACACACACCCACCCACCCACACACACACACACACACAGCCCCCAAACTTTCACAGAAAGTCTGACAGCAACCACATAAGTATAAAGGAATCCTACCTCACAACAGCAAAGTAGGGATGAGTATGACTGTGTCAGCCTAAAGCAGAAGCCAAATAGGGGAAAGTGTGTGTCACTTAAAAAGGAAATACAATATGGGATTAACAAAAAATCCTTTCGGTAAGAAGCAAATAAAAAGCCCCAAAAAATATTAAAGCAAAATTCTGATTGCCAAAGGGGAGAAAAAAGAAAAAGCCACTTTAGACCAACGTACGGAGCCAGTGTCAAATGCCCAAGTCAAAAGTAGATTCTGGTGTTCCAATAAGACAAGGGCATCACACGATTGAAAAATGAAAAGAAGAAACAAAGAAACTGAAGATGGAAGTTAGTGTGAATCTCTGCATTTCAGAAGAGTTATTCATTAGCTCCACAGCCCGGCATAGTTCCCATGGAGCCCTGAAGGGAGGGGACCTCCTGCCACAAAGAGTTTCGTTCCAGACGAGTCGTAGCAGTGGGTGTAAACAGCATTGGGGAAGAAATCAATGTCTGAAAAATAATTCCTCCAAGTTTCATCATGATTCTGTTGGGAAAAGGAGGAGAAAAAGGGTCTGTTAGCTCCTTGATGTAAGGAAAGTCAAGTCACAGGAAATGTATCATATTGCATTCAGAACTGGAGCCAGGAGACTTGGCCTCAGAAGAATGAATCTGGGCCACCCAGACACAGGAGTGTAAATCCCACTCTACTACTTTGGTTAGGAAATTGGTAAAAAAAAATTTAAAATGATGAGGCCATCTATATCAGTGTTTCATAGTAATGTTCATTAATATCTTTCTCCCAGATCCACCAGTGAATGGCTGCCCCTGAGTAAAGCATTTAATTTCTCTGAAACTTCCTTCATCACAAATATGTAAAGGTAAATCATAGAATAAAGGTGAAGGGGCCCAGCCCACCTAGTCTTTTTGCTCCTATGTGAACCAGGAGTATAACAAAAACATTCATCAAAGTGAGGGAGCTCTTTTTGTGATGCTGCCCAAGCCCCCCCCCCCCCCAGCTGCTGCCCCTTAATGGAAGGCTCACTCACCAGCCAGCCTTTGCCAGTGGTCAGCTTCAGATTTTCCCCTGCGAGCTTGGGCTTGGACCCATAGCAGGATAAGTGCTTCTCTTCCAGAAACCTCTGGGCGCGAATGTCGTAAAATAACAGGGAGCCCTGCCCTGTGCCCACAGTGATGATGTGCTCGTAGAAGCTCACCGAACGGATGCCTGGGGCCAGGGGAGAGGAGAGTGATCAAAGACAGACAACAGAATCATCTTCAAACACGCCACCGAAAACCCATGGTGGTTTTCTACTGCCTGTTGTATCTGAACCTTATAATGTGGCCTTCTAAAATCATCAGAATAGACTACTGAGTCAGTCCTCGAGGCCATCCAGCCAATGATGATGATCCTAGTGGGAAACCAAGGGATACTATGTCAAAGAGAATGGTGATGGAGACTCTTTTAAAAAATCTCAAATCAAAAGTTCCACACACATCTTTAACCTTCTCTAGTAACTTATAGATTGAATGGTGGATGACAGACCTTCTTAAATCTGTGTATGGTTCCAGTTTGAATAGCCTTTCAGGTTTATGAATTCTCCATTTACTCTGTGCACTGTATAAAATTGTGATTTTTAATTGCCACAAAACTACTGCCATCACGCTTCTAGGGAGCTGTGAATATAAACTAATGGGAATGATTGCTTAAAACAGAGCTTATACATTATTCAAATGAGTATCTTTCAAAGCAGTGCTCCTGGAAGGCAAGTCATTTATACATCTATTCCAGTGACACTCCCACTTAGGAACTCCTCTTTGGCAACAGTTTACGGAATCTGCTTCCAATCCAGGGAACAAAATCAGATATGACGATTACGACTTTTTTTTTTTACAATAAAAAATGGCATTCTCTAGTTCAATTCCCTACTTTGCACGGCAGACAGGGATCTAAGTGACTCATGGCATTAACTAAAAACCGAACACGTTTTCAGAGGATGAAGATTTCTTGCCACTGAGGCTATTCAAAAGGATAACTCCAAAGTCAGTTCTCAGGTCCCAGAAAGGTCCTGAGCAAGGGCAATGCCACTAAGTTTATGGTCTCCCCAGGAACCAACAAGGAAGGACAACTCTCATTTGGATAAAAAAGTTCTTGCATATTGTTTAAAAAAAAAAAAACCACAACAACCCTACAATGACATTGTTGTCACCTCACATTACATTTATTCATTCAACAACTATTTAATGAATGGCAACCATGTACAGTAGGGATACAAAGACACAGAAAAAGTCATGGTTCCTGACCTCAAGAAACTTACAACTTAGTTTCATGAGTTGCCATGGCCAAGAATTTATCACCCAGCAGGTCAGCTTACTGGTAATAAGCTTCCTTGTACTAAGCTAGGCTGGTCCTTGTACAGTAGACTTAAGTCTCCTGCTGTGACCATAGGGGCAAAAATACATGACCATAAATGACTAAAATAAAAGGTGATATGTAATAAGTGCTGTTTATTATGCCAACAAAGTGCTGTAGCTTACAGTGGGAAGAATACTTCAGGATGAATTGGTCAGTCCACGAAGGCTTCTAGGAGGATATAACATTTGAACTGGGTCCTAACGGAAGGATTTTGGCAGCTAGAGATGGGATATAATGGTATATCAAGTAGATAAAATTGCATGAGCCAAAGCACAGAACTGGAGAAACAAAAGTGTCTGGAGAAAGGGACAATCCAGTCTGGCTACAGTAAATGGTAAGTATAGAGGAGAGACAGGAGATAAGGCTAGAAAAGAAGCTTGGGATCATTTTGTGGAAACCCTTAAATATCAAGTTAGGGAATCAGGACTTTAATTTACAGATACTTGGGGGGGAAATGTAGGTTTTCGTGCAAGAGAGTGACATAATGCGAGTACTGCTTTGATCTGGTGCTTGTATAAGATACTATTATGCAACAAGGGGGAGAAAGTAGAAAGAGAAAACTAATTAGAAAGTTATTATATGAGTGCGCAATAATGAGGCTAATCATAGATATGAATAGAAAGGAATACATGGAAGTGATGAAGGGAGGGGAAAAAAGCTAGGGAAGGGGACAAGTCAAAGAGAACTCCCAGGTTTTCAGCCTGGGTAACAGAGAATGGTGATACCATTGACAGAAAGAGGGAAATCTGAAAAAGATGATTTTGTGGAAAAAATAACAAGTTTGGGTTTTAAATAGGCTGAGTTTCAGATGCCAGATGGGTATAAAAAGTAGAAATGTACTTTGAAAATGCGAGACTGAAACTTGGAAGATGGTTCAGTGATGAGATCTGTTTATCTCAGGAGTTATCCACTGAGGGAACAATAAGTAAAGTCATGGGTGTGGATGAAATTAAGGTAGAGAAGACAGAATCTTGGCACTCACATTTAGGGGGCATGAGGAAAAGAAGCCAGCCAAAACGTTATAGAAGGAACAGTTAAAGTGGGAAGACAAGATTCAGTATAACACTGTCAGAAACCAAAGCCAAAAAAAATTCAAAGAGGAAGGGGAGATTAACAGCATCAAATGCTATGGAAAGGAGAATTGTAATGAGAAAAGGCTATTGGATTGATACTGAGGTCAGTGGTAGCTTTTGAGGCTAGCTTATGTGGAATCAAAAGTACAGAAGTCAGATTGGATAGGATCAAAGAGGAAAGGGATAGTGAAGAAGAGGTAAATATAGTCAAATCTATGTGTATAGATCCAGGGATGGGGAAGCTGTGGTCTCCAGGCCACATGTGGCCTGGATTAGACTATTGATTGAGGACTGAACTATTGACTAGAGATTAATGGCAGGATGGAAAGATAGGACACTAGCTAAAGGTATATTTATTTTAATTAATTTATTTAGGATAAGCTAGAGGGAAGGAAGGCAGTAGAGAGGACTAGACTGAAGGTACAAGAGGAAAAAAAAAGGACAATAGAGTAGTCTTAGAAACAACAGGTAGGGATATGAGCACAGGAAAGGATTAGCCTTAGAAACAAAGTAATCTTAGACACAGGAAGGAGTTAACATGCAGATCAATTTTAAGATGGAGAAGACAACTTTGAAAGAAGGCCTAAATAATAGTAAATTAGAGGCCATTTGCTCTAAATAAGAGGTATAAGGGAGGGTGATGGAGTTCGAAGAATATGGAAAGAGTTTTAAAAAGTTACCATGAGATATTAACAATAATGCTGTCAGCAGTGAGGTCTCAGTTAAGGTAAGAAGTCTTGAAATTATGTTAAATGAAGAACGGTTCAGAAAATTGAGCTATTTTGCCTGAAGAAAAGGCTTAAGTGGGACAGGACAGTTGTTCTCAAATATCTGAATGACTGTCTAGATGAAAGAGGCTTATTCTGTTTTGTTCCAGAGGGTAGAACTAGGACCAAGAGGTGGAAGTCACGGGTAGAAGACTTCAGTCCAATATAGTTTCTAGCAGTTAATAGTAAAAACTATCAAAAATGGAATGAACTGGAAGAAATCTTGTCTACTAACAAGGTGATTATCCAGCTTCTACTTAAACATTTGTTCAAATGAGAGGGAATTTGCCAGGTGATACAATAAAATGACAGCAACATTAACTCATATAGTGCTTTAAAGTTTGCAAAATACTCTACATACCCTACTATCTCATTATAGGGCAGCTTATACACTTCTGGACAACTCTTATGATCAGACTGTTTTTTACATAGAGCCTAAGTCAGCTTCCTTGAAATGTCTAATTTCCAGGCGGGCAGCTAGGTGGTACAGTGTATAGAGGGCTGGTCAAATCTAGCCTCAGACACTAGCTGTGTGGCATTGGGCAAGTCACTTAATTGCCATTTGACTCAGTTTCCTCAACTGTAAGATGGGAATAATAACAGAACCTATCTGCCAGGGCTGTTGTGAGGATCAAATAAATAGTTGTAAAATGCACATTGCCTGGCATATGGTAAGCACTTAGAAAATGCTGATTTCTAGGGCTCCTCCCCTTCCCTCTGGAGCGAACAGAATGAGAAGTTTCCCCTTTCCCATGGCAGCCCTTCAAATATTTTAAGGCAATGGTTGTTCTTCTCTCCCCACTTCAAATCTTCTCAACTCCAGGTGAAACATTTCCCCTTGTTTTTCATATGGCATTTTGTGCATGCCCTTTCTCATCCTGTCTGCCCTTCAATTTGTCAGTGTCATTATTGAAACATGGCACTCAGAGATAAACAATATTCCAGATACAGCCTGACTATTCCAGCGTGTGATAGAACGTTACCACCCTGGAACAGATGCTAAACTTTTATCCATTTTTTAATCCATTTTATATTGCTTGCTCCTATTGAGTCTGTGGCTAATTAAAAGGTCTTTTCACAGGACTCAACTTGTACTGTTGATTTTAAAAACTAAGTGCAAATAAGACTTTGTATTTATTCTTGTTAACTTTCATTTTGTTAGCTCTGGCTAGTTGTTTCAGCTTGTTGAGATCTTTTTGAATTCTGTCTTCCAAGAGGATCAACTACTCTTAGGTTTGGATGAAGGTTCACCATCTTTCCAGGACAAAGTATTTTTATAGCCTGTCCTCAAAAGGCAGCTGCTCCATCTCCTGGATTATTTTAAAAAAACATTTTGGGGATTTTTTACAGTCCTACTATGTCTGAATGATGACTGCAAGAGTCCACAGTAATCGAAGTTTGTATGTACAAGGTAAAGACAGTATGGTATAATAGAAAGAATGCTAGACTTAAAGTCAGTAGACAACCTAATTTCAAATTCTGATTCGTCGTCTTCTTTTTTTTTTTTTTTTAGGCAAGATAATTGGGGTTAAGTGACTTGCCCAGGCTCACACAGCTAGTGCCAAGTGTCTGATCTGAGACTGGATTTGAACTCAGGTCCTCCTGACCGCAGGACTGGTGTACTATCCACTGAACCATCAACTGCCCCTCAAATTCTGACTCTAACACTAACTAGCTATGATTTCTTGGGAAAGTCCCAACTTGTCTCAGCTTTAGGTTCACTATTTGTAAAACGGGGATAAATACCTGTGTGTACCTCATAGGATGGTTTGGAGAAAAGCCCTTTGCATACCCAATATGCGAATTACTGTATTATACACAGAAATTTTGCACAAGGGTTGCTGGTTGTGGTTCTGTTTCTAAATTATTTTCTGATAATACCCAGCATCTGGGTATTAATACCCAATGGCTGACCTTTTTATGCTGCGTCAACACATAGGACTGAAGTCTTCTGAGACATCAACAACTATGG